GGAGCAAACTGGACAGGAAGTTTTGTAAAAACGTTGTAGTGGAAACATGTTTTTTTGTTTAGCTGCTTTAATGTTTCTTTGTAAAACAGTAGTAGGTTTTCATAGCTCATTGACGAATAGTTTTTTAAAATCACAGATTACTTATCTGGGCTTTTGCCATTTAAGATTGGAGTTGCTCACTCTATTGTTACTACCCAATGGACTGTGAGAACTGAACGGTTAATCTGTTAATGATTGTAATAAATTAGAAACATATGAAGGAAGCCTCATCTGCATTTGAGCTACAGGATCAAGTTACCTCCCTTGTGTACAAAGCTATTATTTTTGATACCTGTGGTTTTAAGGTCTTCCCTCCTACATCATTCGAAGACATGAAAGAGACTAGTATTTTGATTCTTTCAATGATAACTCTTCTCGGTCTTGAGTTGTCGCCGGGCGGGGGCCGTTCTGTCATCTCAATGACAGTAGCAATTTCAAGTACACTCCCATCCGGCCCTCCCCTCCCCCGAAGCGCCCCGCCCCGCTTCCCGGCGCTAGCTTTCCTCCCACCCTGACCCGGGCGCCCAGGGCCAGGCGGGGATGGAGCCGAGTCGCTCCTGCCTGGGCTGCCGCCCCCACCCCCAGGTGAGAAGTGCTCCTGGATCAGTTTCCCCTTTCGTTTCCTTCTCTTTCCAGCTGTCACCTCCTCTGGTGGTCACCTCCCCAGTGGGCAGAGAGCCCTACACAAAGAACTTGGGATCTGGATTTACACCGAGTGTAGCTTTAAATCCCGGCTGCGTGACCTTGAGCAAAGTGCCCCACCTCTGGGCATCAGTTTCCTCGTCCGTGGAGCAACGCCGAGGCGCGCGGCTCCCCGCACCGTTCCTGGCACGGCGCGGTTCGCAGCTCGGTTCCCAGCCAGCGCGCAGCGGTGGGAGCGCGGCCGCTCTCCCCGCCCCCCGCCTCGGCGAGACCTGCGCCCGGGAGCTGCCTGTCTCCAGCCGCGAGTGGGGGAGGCGCCCCGGAGCAGCCGGCAGCCGGCGGTCTCGCGCTCCGATTTCCTCGCCGTATGAAATGAAATTCCACAGGGGGATTCGAAAGGAAATGAGACCGGGACGCTCCGTGCTTCTCGGCCCGCCGCCCTTCCTGTCTCGGGGACACGGTTTCTAAATAAGGTTGGGAGGGTGAGAGGGCGGGAGGGGAGAGGCTTGACCTGAGCACTGTGTGCGAGGAGGGCGCCCAACCGCCAGGCTCTGCTCCCCTGCAGCCTTACTCCCCTTTCTGCCTGATTACGCTTCTAGCTAGGGTCCTAGAGGTCGGGAGATCTTGCGCCCTGGGTTCCAATCCAACTTTGCTGCCGCGCATTCGCCGCCCCCAGGGGCTGTGTGCTGGTCACCCTCTCCCTGCTTTCCAGTCGATCAGGGAAACTGCCAGCAGGTGGATTCCTGACCCCTGTCCTTGTCGGCTTGACTGTGGTCAGGCTCCTGTGCCTCTCTGGGCATATGTAAAAGAGAGAAGTTCATGTCTGCCGCACACGGTTGTTCCAAGAGTTAAATGAGGTAACTCCTGTAAATCATTTAGCACAGTGTCTGGCACATGGTGCTTGCTGAATAACTTGGTGGCCGTTGTTGTGCTTTTTTCCTGGAACAGCCGGGGGAGGTCAGTTATGGGACAGCCTCTTGCCTTCCAGCCTGGTGCTGAAGAGATCAGCAGCTCAGGTCTGAGAATCTGTTGGTAAAGGGACTTCTACTCTCTTCCTGAATCCTTTAGTCCAACACTTGCCACTGTTTTCCTAGACTTTTTTTTTTAATTGTTATTACTTTATTTGACAGAGAGAGACGGAGATCTCCCATTGGCTGGATCACTTCCCAAATGCCAGCAACAGCTAGGGCTTGGCCAGATCAAAGCCAAGAGCCTGGAACTCAGTCTCCAGTCTCCCATGTAGATGGCAGGGACTCAACTTCTTAAACCATCATCTACTCTCAGATCTACATTAGGTGTACAGAGTCTGGACTTGAACCCAAATGTCCACCTGTTTTTAATACATGTTCGTGTCCTCCCATTTCAGCCAATTTGTCACATCTCAGGGGCTAGGTGCACATTAGAAGGATGTCTGTGCCACTAATGTGGCACTCATTCTTTTTAAAATATATTTATTTCATTTGAGAGGCAGAGAGACAGAAAGAGAAATCTCCCATCTGCTGGTTCATTCCCCAAATCCCCACACAGCTAGGGCTGTGCCAGGCTGAATGAAACCAGGAGCTAGGAGCTCAATGTGGGTCTTCCATGTGGGTGGCAGGGACCCAAATATGTGAGCCATCACCTGCTGTCCCCCATGGTGGCCATTAGCCAGAGGCTTGAATTGGGAGCAGAGCCAGAACTCAAACTCAGGTACTCTGACATGGGAAATAGGTATCCCAAGAGACATCTTAACCACTGCACCAAATGCCTACCCCTTTACTTTCAGACAACCATACCTGGCTGAGGATAAGAATGAGGTCAACTTCTTTTTGGTATTTGGCTCTGTGCCTGGAACTGTGCAGAGCATAAAGAAGCTGCATTGTCTTCAGTCATCGTCACAACCTCCTGGTGAAGGGGACTCTAGTAGAATCCTTAAGAATTAGGATACTGAGGCTTGAACCAAAGTAATAGACAATGACTGAACCAACCACATCAGGGCTCAAGGAAGGCCCTTTAAAGATGGAAGACAAGTTTATTTTCCCAGAAAAAAATTCCTGGCTGGAAATCAGTTTTTTCAGTAGTAGGGTTGAATCTTCTGTGTGCCTGTGCTGAGTAATGCATGAGATCATTGGTCTGCAGAGATGAATAAATGATCAGATGAACAGATCAAATGATCTATTAATCACTTGGCCTGCAGAGATGAGTACATCAGATGAATGGATGTTCTTCTAGGACCACACAAGAGCAGACAAAGAATGTACTAACAATAGAAACTCAGTGTGGTAAATGCATGGATAGAAAACTGTGGGTAGACTGAAGGTAGAGTAGATGAGCTTGAAGGGCTACTCAAAGGAGGAAGACCTGCAGGATTCTGAGCCACTCAACACAGAGGAGTTAGTGTGCACTTGGCACTTCTCCTTGAGCAGCATGGACAAGGGGGTACGTACTGTGCTGAAGACATGCGATGCATTCAACAGTGAACTCCCTGAGATCAAGCTGGAGCACCTGTGCACCACAGTCTAGCACATGGAGGAGACATCACTAGTGCAGAAAGAAGGAGTACCATGATCAAACCAATAACAAGCAACACACATTGACACTTAGTCTATGCCAAACTCTCTGTTACATTCCTCCTAATCGTTATTTTATTTCATCATTAACTTGAGAAAGCTAATGTTCTGAGAGGTCAAGCAGTTTGCCCAAGATCACACAGTAAGTGGTAGATAAAGCTTCAGATGCCTATCTGCTGGTCCTGTCCTCTGTGTACAAGATACTGGCAGAGGAAGCTGCCTCACACCTGGCCTAATCCGCAGTCAAAGATGACCCCTTGGGAGCTGAACCTCTTGCTCCCTGCCTCAGCTTGTCTGAATAAACTGTCTCTTTTGAGAACTCTTGAAGAAGCCCCTTCCCGTCAGAAGCTTTTCCTGTCAACAGCTTTTCTTTCTAGGCATAGAACTCATCGCAGGTATTTTCCAAAAAAGAAAGCCAGAAGAATCACATTTCAGTGTGAATGTGGAAAGAAAACAAAGACCAGGACTTAGAGCTAAGTCTGAATGGCCTGGAGCCTACAGCCCCCACCTCGTGGGGGTGGTTGATACAGTCCACAGTCTGCCCCTGGTGACAGGCAGGGCATGTTTGTCTTTGTTACAGAAAACACTTCCCTGAGGGAATTCCAGGCAGAGGGGTATCCACCCTGTGACATGCACAGTGTTTCTCAGAGGAAAAAAATAGGCACGCCTGAGTAGGACCTTCAGGTAACCTAAAGCAGGGGCCTCCCGGGGCAGGTCCCTGGTACAGCCTCTGAGGGGTAAAGATGCAGCTACTTCCACTGCAACAAACATGACTCTGGCGGGGCGGGTGGGCAGTTGGAGGGCCCTCTATTTGCATCTAATGAGAGGCTGGGTTCTAATTAACTCCTGTGATGTGTTAATTTTTCAACCTGACATTTTCTGCTCTAATAGATTCTTGTAATGGTTCCTAAATTAAAGGCTGCATTGGGAGACTAGCGTTTAGGTTAAAATCCACCACCTAAGGGGGTGGGAGCCATAAACATCCTTTCCCTCCTAAGGAAAACCTCTCATTTGCAGTTCTTTGCTAACCCAATTAAGTGCTGAAGTGGTCACCCCAGAGCCTGCTTTTTATTTCCTGCTAAACAATCCAACTAATCCATATTCAGTAGCTTCCAAGAAAAGTCCTATTCCAACCACTCATGAAGAAACCAGCTTCTTAGAATCTAGACAGAACATTTGGAACTCACAAAGAGCTGTCTTGATAGAAAATGCAAGAAAGTGTTTCATTATTACCCTGTTTGGTTTTTGAAGGGAAAATTCACTGGGGCTGAAACACTGTAAATATCGGGAATTTACCGGAAACAACAAAAGCATAAAGATAAACCGTGCCTCATCCCATCAGCTTATAAACAGTATGAGTGCTACTTCTTTCCCTGTGCCCAGACCAGCCATAAAACAACAATGAATCTACTGGTAAGGTGGAAGGGAACACTGATTTTAGTTCAAGTTCAGAAGCAGAGGTCCCACGAGATTAAGTAACAGGTATTAATGGCAGAGCCAAACTCCCTTCCTGGCCTATGGCACTACTCACCAGCAGAGAATTGTCATTTCGGAACTTTGCATATCAAGGAGTCAAAAGTTCCTCATACTCACATATTCAGCAAGCATAAGATTCCTTTGGACATTTTTGTTATTGGATGGGCATGGTTTAACTTAC